TAAGGCAAGCTATCAGAGGAAACTGAAAAGAAGTTTAAAAATAGGAGGGAGAGGACAATGAAGTAAAATCCAAAAGAGAAAAGTGTTTTAATAATATAGGAAGAGGTCCTTGTGCAATATGCTAAAAATCAGGTGAGAAAAGGCTAAAAAAAAGTCCTATTAGCACTTGTCATGAGCAGATTAGTACTCTTGACCAATGTTTCAGTCCAGTGGCGCCCAATGGCAATGTGGCAGGAGGTGAAGGAGCTGACCAGCTGGTGTAAACTTGCATAAAGCAGGAAAGGATGTTGCCTGGGAGATTCGATTGTGCAGGCATTGAAACATTTTGGAGAATGATACAGAATCTTACTCAACAAATTTCAAATTATATCATGTAAGACAAGTTACTTTATCTATCTTATCCTCAACTTGTTTTTCTTGAACAAGAATAATAATAGTCATCTAACACGAAGAGTTTCAGTGAGGATTACATGAAAGACTGCATAAGAAACAGTTATTTGCTGAGATTCCAACAAAGGCAAGCATACTAGGATGATTCCATTATGTGAGTTATTCAACGGGCTCAAGCATGGGGACCATTCTGAGGATGGCACACGATCGGGTAATGTTTGTTCTGTGGTGCAGCCATCGCTATGGGCCAGAACTGAATCTATGGCACTCAACAATTATTCTTATCACTACCACTATTTGAATATAATTAGTAAATGAAAGTGCTGACAAAAATCAGTCAGGAAGATTTTAATGGGTTCTGGGAACCAAAAGCGCAAATCAAAGAGGTATGTACTAGATGGGTTAAAAAGGATAGGTTAAGGGACTGGAGATAATAGATGTGTTAAATGGGAAAGTATGCAGAGATTTAGAAATTGCAGCGCCAGGTGAATGATTTTTGCTGATGTTAAATACTTCCAGTTAGTTCTAACGTATAGCAGCCAATTATACATTGGAAAGAAACACCCCTCCTGGTCTGGTGGCAGGCTCACAGCTGTTAGGTTTGAGGCCATTGTTGCAGCCACTGTGGCAATTCTTCTCATCCAGGGGAGTCCTCTCTTCTCCTTGGGCCGCCACTCTACCAAACATGTGCTGTGCTTCTCCAGGGACTAGTCTCTCCTGATAACATGCCCAAAGTACCTGAGACAAGGTGTCTTTATCCTTGCTGCTAAGGAGCACCCTAGCTGGACTTCATCCAAAATGGATTGGTTTGTCCTCTTGACTGCCCATGGTACTTTCAACATTCTTTGACAGCACCATAATTCAACCTGTCATTTCTTTGTGATTCAACGTCCAATTGTCACATACATATGGAGCTAATGAAAGTAACACGGGCTTGGTCTTTTGAACCTTAGTGCAAAAAGTAAGGTATTGGCTTTGCAACACTTTCAAGAGGCCTTGTGCAGCAGATTTCCCCAATGCCACGCATATATGGATCTCTTGACTGCTGCTTCCATAAACGTTGATTGTGGATCCAACACAGACAAAATCCTTGACAACTTCAATCTTTCATCTATTGATAATTATCTTACTATTGGTCCGGTTGTGAGGATTTGGGTTTTCTTTGCATTGAGGTGTAATCTATACTGAAGACTTAATTCTTGATCTTCCTCAGCAAGTGCTTCAAGTCCTCCTCATTTTCAGCAAGCAAAGTTATGTTATCTGCCTATCACAGGTTGTTAATAAGCCTTCTTCAAATCCAGATACCACATTCTTCATATAATCCAGATTCTCTGAGAATTTTCTTCAAGAAACAAATCAAACAAGTATGATGAGAGGATACCACCCGGACCCACATCTTTCTTGATTGTAACCCATGCAGCATGCCCTTGTTCTGTTCACACAACTGTCTCTTGTCCATGTACAGGTCCCACATGAGCACAATGAAGTGTTCTGGATTTCATATTCATCTCAAGGTTACTCAGAGAGTTTTGTTATGATCACAGTTAAATGCCTTTTCACAGTCAATAAAACACAAGTAAGCATCCTTAAGGTATTTGCTACTTTGAGACAAGATCCATCCAACATCAGCAATGATGTCTCCCTTGTTCCACATCCCCTTCTGTATCTAGACTGAAACTCTAGATGCTCCCTGCCAAGTACTGCTGCAATTATAATAGGATGGTTTTCAGCAACATTTTACTTGCATGTGCTAGTAAAGATATTGTTCTATATTTTGAGTATTATGTTGGGTCACCTTTCTTTAGGATGGGTAACAAGGATCTCAGCCAGTCAGTTCGCTAGGTAGCTTCCTTCTAAATTTCCTGGCAGAGATGAATCAGTGGTTCCAGTGCTTAATCAGTTTGTAGGAACACTTCCATCGGTATTCCAGCAATCCTGGAAGTCCTGGTTTTGGTTAAGGCCTTCAGTGCAACTGGACTTCTTCCAGTGTCAGTGGTTCTTGTTTACAGGCTACCTCTGGAGATGGCTCAATGTTAACTGTACTTTGGGGCACAGAACTCTGTTTTGTTTCTATCTTCTTTGTGTGCTTCCTGCATCATTCAATATTTTGCCCATAGAATCCATTAATATTGAAACACAAAGCTTCAATTGTTTTCTTGAGTTCTTTCCATTTGAGATAACTTTTTTTGTTTTTCCAACTCTAGGTATTTTAATATTTGACTTTGTCTTCTCAAGATGCCCTTAGAAATTTTCTGTTCAGCCTTTTGACTTCATCATCACATCCATTTGCCTTAGCTATACTCTACTATTAAAACAAGTTCCAGAGTCTCTCCTGACATCCACTTCAAACTTTTCTTTCTTTCCTATCTTTTTAATGACTTTTGTTTTCTTCATGTATGATGTCCTTAATGTGTTCAATGCATCGGATCTGTTCTTGAGACATTCAGGTGGCATATAATCATGGTCATATTTTGGCTCGTGGACTTATTTTAATTTTCTTCAACTTCAATTGATCATTTATTCCACAGTCAGTCCCTGACCTCATTTTTGATGCTGATATATAGCATTATCTCTTTCAAGAGATATAGTCAATTTGATTTCTGTGTATTCCACCTGGAAATGTTCACATGTGTAGTTGCATTTTGTGCTCAAAAAGATATTTACAAAGAAGGAGTCATTGGTCTTACAAAATTCTATCATGTGATCGCCAACTTCATTTCTATAACCAATGCCATATGTTCCAACTACTGTTCCATTTTTGTTTCCAACTTTTACAATCTAATCACCAATAATTTTCAATGCATCTTGATTGCATATTTGAGCAGTTTCATGCTGAACTGGTAAAATTCTTCAGTTTCTGTATCAGGAACTTTAGTAATTGGTACTCAAATTCAAATAATAGTTGTATTGACTGATTCTTCTTGAAGTATTGTACTTTATGATAGATCTTGAAATGTCATTTCTGATGATAAATGCAATTAAATTCCTCTTGAAGCTGTCATTCTTGGTTTAGTAAACCATATAATTTTCTGACTCAAAATGGGCAACAATAGCCCATATTTGTTCCATTTCATTTTTGACAACTTCCAGTTTTTCTAGATGAACACTTCATACATTCCAAGATTTATTTCTTAACAGATGTATGCAGATATTTCTTCTTGTGGGTCACCTTGTATCAGCAAATGAAGGTCCTGAAGACTTTACTCCTGAAAGCTCTACTCCATCCACATCATCATGGCCAACTCTGCTTTGAGGAGGCAGTTAGTCATCACTCATAGTTTCAGTGCCCTCTGACCTGAGGGATTCCTCTTCTGGCATTATATCTGACAGTGTCAGGCTGCTATGCATGAGGCTTTCGGTATCTAACAATGTTCTCATGCTATCCATAAGCTATTTAGTGGATAATTCCTCTGAAGTAGACAACCTTATTCTAGGTCTGTTCTTATTCTGTAAACTCCCCTGAAATCTGTTTACTTTGGGTGACCCAGCTGGTCTTTGAAAATTCCAGTGACGTAGGTTCCAGATCAAAGCAACACTCTAGCCACAAGAGGAGGACAAACTAAAAGACAGTACAGAGTTATCATTTTAAGTGTATCTATTTCATTTTAATACTTTAGGAGAAGCCATGCAAGATAATGCCAAAGGACTACAACTGCAGAAAGAGGCAGCTGAATTGGAATGGAGAAAAACGTCATGTCTTCATTCATGAATGGACATTCATGAACTGCATGTGTTGTTTGGAAATCTAGAGTCAGAGCTGGAGCAAAGTCCAGTACCCTCCTCTGAGGTTAAGAGGAAAGAAGACTCGTTCCCAGGGGTGTGGAATTTGTTCATGGTGGGGAGCGGACAGCAAGGGGCAAAAAAGTGACTCGGCAATTGAAGACCATAACAGGTAAAGCTGTAGATGACAGCAAAAGCAGGGTTAGTTGATGTGGCCATCACAGGCATTACAACTCTTGGCGACCCCAAGTGTCACAAAGTAGAACAGTTCCACAGGGATTTCTTTGCTGTACTAATGTTGGAAAGAATTCCACGTGGTACAAACAGCTAACCACAGTTCTTGGCAGTTAGAACTCACCTAGAGGTTTCAAGGGAGAAAGACCTGTGTGCTCTACATGAAATGGAAAAAGACTTCATGTTACTTGGATCCATTATCAATTTTCATGGAAGCGGCAGTTAATCAACCAAAGGTTGTAGTGCGCTGGGCACAGCTATGCCACATGACCTCTTTAAACTGTTAAAGAACCAAGCTGATGGCACTTTGATGACTCAGGTGCACCTGACTCAAGCACTGGTATTTTCCATTGTTGCAAAGGCCTGGGAAAGCCGGCCAACAAATACGAATAATGGGAGAATTAATGCATTTGCACAATGCAGTTAATGAAGACTATTGACGGTACCACGGACTTCAGCCAGAATGCTCTTTAGAAATGAGGATGTCTCACATACTTTGGACATGGTGTAAAAGTACACCATGCTTGGTAAAGTGGGGGGTTAGTACAAAAGAGAAAGACCCTGGAACAAACAATTCATACAGCATTTACCACAGTGCGCTCAAACACAGCAGCGATGGTGAAAATGGCACATTCTTGTGTATCAGGGGTCACGATGCGTCAACTCAACGGCACAAAAAAGCATCTGCCCATAAAGTTTGCAGCCAAGAAAACCCCATGTGCAGTTCTATTCCATCACCTGGGTGCACCAACGCATGAGGCTTGACTCAACAGCAACTAGCAAGAACAGGAAGAGAGAATGGGGCATGCGAACCCTAAAGTAGGAGGCAGCTTTGCTCAAGAGTAGAAAAATGGAAGAAGTAAGAAGCCGCTTCTTTTGTCAGTTGCCATGGTGTCTGTGTAGATGCACTGTCAGAGTCCTTGGCATAGGTGGGGTCATCCGTATGCCTATGATGCCAATCCATCTCCCTTGGGGCATGTCTCACGTTCCCTGTCCATCTTCTTTATCAAACAGGGTGTCCTTTTTAGTGAGTGATCTTCTTGATGACAAGCCCAAAG